TCATTGTGTCATCAGGGTCACACATGTTGAGCGATGTGTTCACACATCGTGTACTCAAAAAACAAAGAAAGCGAGAGAAGATAACAAGTGAACTACGCATTAAACTTAAACAGCAAGCTATTTTTATAATCTCTGTGTAAAAAAGTTTATTTCCATGACATAAGTTTAGTGTGACGCTTAGTATGCATAGTCTTCAGTGCTTGCCAAAGTTACACAATGCAAGCAAAAGATGTTCTTGGTGTGTGTGTGTTTGTGTGTGTATGTGTCTGTCTGTGGAGAGAGGGGAGGACTGATTATTTTTCTGCTGACGCTATTTGATTTTGATCATGTGTGTTTGAACGCATCACTGCAAACGTGTGCTGTGAGCATCGGTGGAAACTCCGTCTGTTTGATCCTCACCTTTTACAAAATATCTTTCAACACTTTGATTCCCTTTCCTCCCAGATGCGCGCGCACATACACACACACACACACACACACTGATTGTTGCTTGTGGAAGCGAAATCAGATTGTTGGATAACGGGTCGAGAGTTTTGTGTGCGGTAGAACCGGAGAGTGAAGGAATAGAAATATCGAGTTGACGGGGTTGGGAGTGGAGACATTTCCTGGGTTGAATTTTCGAGTTCCATTCTGTTCTCAAGTGGTCCTCGTTCTGGTTTGTTATTTTAACTTTCCAAGCATCGAAAAACAGGAGCGAACGTTTTATTTTCACAGCTGAACCCAACACAATTGACTATAGCGAACGGGTGATTGTTCCGTGCACAGCGCACCACTGTTGGATTGATAATAGTCTTATCCACTTTTGATACTGTAGGAGGGAGGGGGAGAGATTGCGTGTAGAATCTTATGAAAACATTGCTCCACTCTCTCCCCTCCCTTCTCCGGTTGTTGTTGTTGTTGTTGAAAAGCGGAATTTGCAGTTTGGGGATATTTGTCAAAAGTTGAGTTTTGAATCGAATTGAGCGTGCGACGCGATGCTGCCCGGTTAGTTCAACGTCGCACTGTGACATCGCACTGCCGCTCTTCATCTGACTGACACATCCGTGTCACAACACTTGCTCTGACATTTATCCGTCTTTCTGCTCACGGATTTTCCCCGCGCGTGCTGATCGCCTGGTCCAGGTATCACTCTCGCCTCTCCTCTTCTCTCTCACACATGAAAGATGTGCTCATCGTTTCGTCTTCACTCCCGGTTTCGTTTTATTTTCACATCGTCAAACAACATCCAACAGTTACGCGCATCTTGGGTGACAGGTTTCATCACATCCTCGCTTCTATTAGTTTGCCGTGAACGTGACTATGTGGAAGTAAATGAACGAACAGGAGGGTGAGGCAAGCACTCAGTAGGTCGATGAGTGGATATAGTTCAGTGATAGCAATCGTAACTGTCTTCCAATATGTGTCGGGCTGGGTGATGGTAGGAGGAGATGGAGTGACAAAAAAGCCTGAGTGGTACAACTAGTCCTGACGTGTGATCCGCAAAACGGATCCGACGCCCTTATGGAATGTTAACATAACAGGACAACAATGAGTGAACGGGAAAGTACAACACCTTCATATAGTTGCATCAATCGAGCGATCGGTTCCGTCATGAGCAATTTCTGCAAAGATGGGGAAAAATACAAACGACGCCTTAGTTTCTGTACCATCGACCTACTGATACTCCTCAGCCGACAAGGGTGTGCTCAAAAAACAAAAGTAACAGTTAAACAATCCTCGACAAAGCTGGTGACTTCCAGCTAGTTAGCAAAACTGAATAATTGATGAAGTTCTTTTCAACAAATAACTGTAAGCGAATAGAGACATGTGCTTTAACATTTAAACAATGAAAGTAGTAATTGATGCAAATGGTAGGAATATATCTAGCCCGTGGCCGAAAATGAGATGAAGACCACTCACTGTTTAAAGCTAACGATCCTGGTTCCGTTACGATTAACAATGAATTCCACTCATTTACTACGCGAGTATATGCTTCTATTACAAGAATTGCACAAATTTTTGTGACTGCCTGTTTGAATAACTTTCACAGGTTTACTCAGTTGTCATTAGCGGAATAAAATGTATTGATTCGACTTAACCATTTCGAAACATAAATTCCCTGAAGGGATGAAAGGAGTTGAGTTGATGAAATAGAACTTTGAATTTGTACTAATCTAGTACTATATTGCCCCCCCCCGCCCGGTTTCCTGTCTCTTCATTCAATACAGAAATTTCTTTGGAACGCAGTTTCGTACTGCGCATCAAATGTGTGCTGGCCAAGCGTAACGCGGGACTAACGACAGCGGGCTACAAGGTGAGATGCATTTATTCAGCTATACAGACACACGCAAACGCTTCTAGCGCAAACCTATCTTCATACAAATTACCTACTATCCTAGCGTCACACCATTTCATCTACCGTTTCACTCCCTCATTTCTTCCCAACCTCCTCGGCCGGCCAATTCTGTGAAGGTTATTCACTGCAGTGGCTATCTGAAAGTACGTCCAATCAAAGTGGATGGTCTACCGTACTATCAGAACTTGGGTCTTGTGGCATTTGCCTATGCGATCCCTTCACCCAATGCAAACAATACGGAAATTCGATTGGCCTCGGACATGTTTATGTTTCGAGCTAGTCTCGATCTGAAGTTGATTTTCCTTGAGGGCCGGTAAGTTTGTGCACCCCGTCGCTGCTTCATGCCTATCTGCGAAAGATTTTCACACAGTCGTGAGCACAAAAGATTATTGAATGTTGCGCATCTCAGCATTCATTCAGTTAGTTTACCTTTTCTCTGTTTATGGATATACGAAACTGTGGTCAGTTGAATGAGTTCGATTTTTGCTCACCATTTGAAACTTCCAGGCATCCAGACAATCTGAAATGAGTATGTTGGATTTACAATTTACCGATCATACTGCGAGTTCCTGTGACCGTGAGGCCGAAGTCAAATCAATGACAATTGACTACAAGTTTTTATATCATTCGACCCATTAAAGAAACTCGAACAACATGCATCCAGAATTATGTTTTCTTTCAATCAATAGACAATTGCATTTTGCTCTCAAGTGTTGTACCTGAAAAAACTGGTGAACTTTATATATGGTGGAGAGGTGTACAGATTATCTGGGGAGAAAACGACAAATTTAACATCGTTTTGTTGATTTCTTTCCTATTTGTGTACAACAATCAGAGATTAATATCAGAAACCATTCGTGATCACCTGGAATTAATCAACATTTTGCATTTTACACATCTTATCTTAACATATTTATGGAATACCTCCTTGAAAACAGTGCTCATTTATAGCAAATACAGCCACTTTGAAGTAAAATTCACTTTGATTTGTAATCCATTTTCACTGGTCTATTTTCCTCCGTTTAGAATCGCTTCAATCACAGGTTTTCAACCGCAAGAACTGATCGATAAAACATTGTATCATCTAGTCCACGCAATGGATGCCACAGCCTTAAGATGTTCACATGAGATCTGTAAGTTCCCGAAATGCAAATGAAATAATCGAATATTTTGTACACGTCTCTTTTGTATGATCAGGGAATTGAGTCAAGACTATTTTATTTTTCTTCGTTCGCTTTACCCTCTCATCTTTTCCTACCACCCGTTTTGTATATAGTGCTTGCCAAAGGTCAAGTGACCACACCGTATTATCGATTGTTGACCAAAGTGGGTGGTTGGATTTGGATGCAATCATACGCGACCATTGTGCACAACAGTCGTTCATCTCGACCAAATTGTGTGGTCAGTGTGAATTATGTGCTTTCGTAAGTTCGCTTTTTGATTCGTGGGGCTTTTACATTTTTTCTTAGGCGCACAATGTTTTTTTTATTGCACACTTAATGTGGTGAATGGCAGAAGGGTTGTCATTGACAGCCTACTGTTCTGGCAATCTAAGCCCTGGGACTTGGAGTGGAAAACCACAGAATGTCCGAATAAGCTATAAGTGATATCAGGTCGGATTACATGGAAACCATCTACAACTTAAGCTGAGTGACAATGGTAGTGTTCGAACCTTGGACATCCAGGTCTACAGCACATTAGCCACAGTGACTTAAACCGCTTCATTACGATTGATCGCGTGGATCGTAAAAATGATCTTCGTCGGGTTCATATAGCAGTAATTATTTTTAGTTTTAAATTTTTATTTTCAAATCCAATTTCACATTTGATGGTATTGATCAGCCGATTGCTTCCTTACTTATTCGGTTTATCTTTCTCTCACCCCCTGTCGATTTTTTAGCGGTGTTGAAACAGTTGGTATGCCATTGCTGATGGAACAATGCGGTTTGGATGGAGGGAAACTTTCCACATGTATTGCCATCCCATCAGATGCAAAACAAACTGGATTGGGCCAAGATCATGTAGACTATGCATCGACACGAAAAGATTCTAATATCTCAACCGGTGTGAAGCATCGCCTGTCCAGTAAATCAGATATTTTATGTACCACAGGACGGAAACGAGATAGACGATGCCGGTTGGACGAAGAACCTGATGCAGATCCGTCAGAGTGCAATGGGATCAGTGCCCCTGGAACCATGACCACTCCCATTAGTAGTGAGAGCACGCACCGGTTTGGCCTTGATTCTCGGACAGATCGGTTTACTGCATCCTATCTGATGGGTAAATCAGACACCTTTCTAGGGGATCTAGACTACCAGAGTATTGAGCAGCACGCATCAGGTACAGAAGGGACTACGATCAGTAAAACAAGGACTCGTGCCGGTTATGATGCGATCGCAATGAACAACGTGAATCTCATGGATCCGGCATCGGTGAGTGGCCTGAGTGTTGGGTCATGGTCGATGGGTTATGAAACAACGGAAGTGACACGAATTAATGACCCAAAATGGCCCAACCACAGTAACACCTTGAATATGTCACACTTTCCAGGAACTTTCTACCAACCAGGAAATGATCCACGTCTTTTACAGCAGCAGCAGCAACAACAACAACAACATACGGGTAAACTGGATGGATTGATTCAACCGAGTATCGCAGAGTATATGCATGCAGTTCACGGTCCAGATGTATCGCAGAATGATTCTTTCGCAGTTAAGTTTCAGCCAAACTGTTCACTCATGCAACCAAGTGATCGCTATCCGCTGCTGGAAAATTCACCTTGTTCTTCTACTTCATCCGCTACTGATGAGCTGACGGCAGCTCCACCGCATGACACACAGCATCTTAAACACTCGCAACACCATGATCATCAACAACAGCAACAACAACAAAAACAACCT